CACAATTGGAGGAGTCCAGGAGAGCTGGCTGTGCTTCAAAGAAGCCTTACTGAGAGCGCAGGAACAAATCATCCTGATGTGCAGGAACACTAGCTAGTATGGCAGAAGACCAGCTTGGCTTAGCAGGGAACTCTACAGTAAACTAAATCACAAAAAGGAAGCTTATAAGAAGCAGAAACTTGGACAAATAACTAGGGAAGAATATAAAAGCATTGCTCAGCCTGCAGGGATGAAGTCTGGAAGGCCAAAGCGCATTTGGAGTTGCAGCTAGCAAGGGATATGATGGGTAACAAGAAGGACTTCTACAAGTATTTCAGTAACAAGAGGAGTATCAGGGAAAGTGTGGCTCCCTTACTGAATGGGGGAGGCAACCTTGCGAGAGAGGATGCAGAAAAGACTGAAATGTTCAGTGCCGCCTTCTCCTAAGTCTTCACAGGCAAGGTCAGCTTCCAAACTACTGCACCAGGCAGCATAGTTCAGGGAGGAGATGTGCATCCAGCAGTGGCGAAAGAACAGGTTAGGGACTATTTAGAAAAGCTGGATATATACGAGTTCATGGAGCTGGACGGGATGCACCCGAGGGTGCTGGGAGAGTTGGCTGGTGAGATTGCAGAGCCACTGGTCATCATCTTTGAAAACTCAAGGTGTTCAGGAGAGGTCCCGGATGATTGGAAAAGGGCAAACGTAGTGTCCATATTCAGGAAAGGGAAGAAGGAGCATCCAGGGAACTACATACCCATCAGCCTCACATCAGGCCCAGAAGAATCATGGATCAGGTCCTCAAAGAATCCGTTTCTAAGCACTTAGAGGAGAAGAAGGTGATTAGGAACAATCTGCATGGATTCGCCAAGGGTAAGTCATGCCTGACCAACCTGATTGCCTTCTATGATGAAGTGACTGGCTCCGTGGCTGTGGCAAGACCAGTAGATGTACCTTGATTTTAGCAAGGTTTTTGATACTGTTTCCCACAATGTTCTGTCAGGCCAACCTAAGGAAATGCAGGCTGGATGAATGGACTGAAGGTGGATAGTAAACTTACTGGAACATCGGGCTCAGAGAGTAGTAATCAATAGTTCCATGTCTAGTTGGCAGCCGGTATCGAGTGGAGTGCCCTAGTGGTCAGTCATGGGACTGGTTTTGTTCAGTATCTTCATCAATGACCTGGAAGATGGGATGGAGTGCTGTACCCTGAATGAGCTTGCAGGTGACACCAGGCTGTGGGGGTAGTAGATATACTGGAGGGGAGGGTTAGGATTCAGAGTGACCTAGGTCAAAAGGATTGGTCCAAAAGAAATCTCATGAGGTTTAACAAGGACAAATGTGAAGTCCTGCACGTAGGACGGAACAATCCCATGCACCAGTACAGGCTGGGGGGTTGACTGGCTGGGCAGTAGCTCTGCAGAAAAGGACCTGGGGGTTACAGTGGACAATAAGCTGAATATGAGCCAACAGTGTGCCCACATTGCAAAGAAGGCTAATGGTAAACTGGGCTGCATTGGTAGGCATGTTGCCAGCAGGTCAAGGGAAGCAATTATTCTCCTCTGTTCAGCACTGGTGAGGCCACATCTGGAATACTGTGTTCACGGGTGGATTAACCATAGGCAAATGAGACGCATGCCTAGGGCCTTGAGTGAAGAAGGGGCCCAGTTGTGCTTGTTTTACGTACAGGTTTCCCTCGATTTTATGCAGGTTTGATTTATGCAAATTCACTTTTATGCGATGACCCTTTTGTACCCGAAATTTGGTATATGCGAAGTAAATTTGCATATATGTGATCGGCATATGCCTGGAGAATGCCACATAAATCGGATTCGCATAAAGCAAACTTACTTTATAATGCAAGAAATAGGGATAGGTTCCCCTGTTAGTTGCTCCCAGGGCCGGCTGGGGCAAGTGTGGACAAGCGGAGTCCCAGGTGGTGCGGGGCACAGCACTCACCCCAGCTGCAGCAGCTCCAGGAGCTGCCGGCAGCAGGGGC